CACCAACCAAGATGAAGTTTCTAACTTGCCAACTTAATTTCAAGCCAAATCTAACAAATCTCCACATTGGCTTGAAATTACCAAGCCTACTCAACTTCTTCAACTCCCCAAATTTGTAGTGTCTCTAATTGCGCTCACAAGCGCCACACACCCGAAGGTGTTCATACCTTCAGGATGTTAATCAAGTTCAAACAATGATTGAACTTGATTACTGTTACCACCTTGGTCATCATATCTGCAGGATTTTCTGATGTCGCAATTTTCTGAAGTAGAATCTTTTCTTCTTCAAAGATCTCCCGCACAAAGTGATACCTCACGTCGATATGCTTAGTCCTTGAATGGTAGACTTGATTTTTCGCTAAGTGAATAGCGCTCTGACTGTCACAATAGAGACTAATGTGACTTTGAACAACTCCCAAGTCTTCCATCAACCCGTTAAGCCAAATTGGTTCCTTTACAGCCTCTGAAACTGCCATGTATTCTGCCTCTGTAGTAGACAAGGCCACCGTAGATTGCAATGCAGACTTACAATTTACTGGGGCTTTCGCAAGAGTAAACAAATACCCAGTAGTTGATCGACGCTTATCCAAATCACCAGCATAATCGGAATCAGCATATCTAACCACACACTGACCAAGTGTTTCATCCTGTTCAAAAACTAAACAAACATCCACGGTTTGTTGGAGATACCGTAGAATCCATTTCACAGCTTGCCAATGTCCTTCTCCAGGATCATGCATGTACCTGCTCACAACTCCAACTGCTTGTGAAATGTCAGGACGCGTACACACCATTGCATACATCAAGCTCCCAACTGCATTAGCATATGGAACTTTTGCCATATACTCTCGTCCTTCGTTAGTTTTAGGAGATAATTGAGAACTAAATTTCAAATGAGAAGTCAGTGGGATACTTACATGTTTGGTATTTTCATTCATGCCAAAACATTGTAATACCTTTCTCAAATATTGCTTCTGTGTTAAACAAAGCTTCCTTCTCTGTCTATCTCTGCTTATCTCCATACCAAGAATCTTCTTGGCCTCACCTAGATCTTTCATCTCAAACTCTTGATTCAACTGATCCTTTAATTTGTCTATCTCCTTTTGACTCTTCGAAGCGATCAACATATCGTCAACGTACAAGAGAAGATAAATGAAAGATCCATCTTTGAGCTTTTTCAAATACACACAATGATCATATTTTCTTCTAGTGTACTTTTGTCTCCTCATAAAGCTATCAAATCGCTTGTACCACTGCCTCGGAGATTGTTTCAATCCATATAGCGATTTGTTCAGCTTACAAACCCATTTCTCACAACCACCATCTTTGTATCCTTCTGGCTAAATCATATAGATCTCCTCTTCTAAATCATCGTGCAAGAAAGCCGTCTTTACATCAAGTTGAGCTAGCTCCAAATTCAACTTTGCTACCAAGGCCAACAATATTCTAATGGAGGAATGTTTCACAACAGGGGAAAATACTTCATTGTAGTCGATTCCCTCCTTTTGAGCGTAGCCTTTAGCTACCAACCGTGCCTTGTAGCGAACATCTTTCTTGCTATGAGATCCATCTTTCTTTGCAATTACCCACTTGCATTCAATTGCTCTTTTACCTTTCGGTAATTGAGCCAATTTCTAAGTGTTGTTCTTTTGAAGAGATTGCATTTATTTATCCATGACATTTTTCCACTTATCACTTTCCAAGCTTTGTATTGCTTCTTGGTAAGTGATAGGGATATCATCATCAACAACTGGAAGAGCATAGGCAACCATATCAACAAATCAAGCAGGTCTACGAATTTCTCTCATTGGCCTTATAAATGCAAGTGGTTCCGGTGTCTCCAATAGTTCTTGGGTTTGAACCTCTTTATCTTCTGATTCTTCTATTTGAGTTGAAGAATCATATGCATCAACTTCTGGGATTATCGTCTGCTGAAACTCCACCTGTTTTGGAGTATGCTCCACCTGTTGCGGAGTACTACTTGTCTGGACAGCTTCATTTGTTATCTTATTTATTAGGGCAGATTCATCAAAGGTAACATCTCTGCTACAAATTATCTTCTTGGTGTCTAAACACCAAAGGCGAAATCCCTTCACTCCATGGGTGATTCACATAAAGAATGCTTTCTTTGCTCTCGGATCAAGCTTGGATTCCTTCACATGATAATAAGCAATGAATCCAAATACATGTAAGGAATCATAATCAGCAACAAGTTTTCCAGACCATACCTCCAATGGTGTTTTTCCTCCTATCGCTGATGACGACAGATGATTGATGAGATGGCCAACATATGTCACAGCCTCAGCCTAAAATGTCTTGCCTAACCCAGCATTAGACAACATACATCAAACTTTCTCCAATAGTGTTCAATTCATACGCTCTACCACCCCATTCTGTTATGGTGTATTTCTAACCGTGAAGTGTCGAAAAATACCATACTCATGGTAAACGTCAAAGAATGAGTCACTTTTATATTCCCCTCCATTGTCTGCCCTAAGACGTTTGATCTTTCTACCAGTCTGGTTTTCGATCATATTTTTCCATTTCAGGAAAATTTGGAGCACTTCATCGGATACACCCAAACTCTTCTGGAAAAGTCATCTATAAAAGTTAAAAAATAATGGTTTCCTCCTAAAGACGATGTCTTTGAAGGACCCCATACATCTGAGTGAATATAATCCACAATACCTTTTGTATTATGTATAGTGGTGTCAAACTTGACTCTCTTCTGCTTTCCCAGAACACAATACTCGCAAAAGTTCAATTTGCAAGCCTTTGCACCTTTCAACAATCCTTTCTTTGCCAAAATTTGCAAGGATTTCTCTTCAGCATGTCCCAACCGCATATGCCACAACTGGGTTGCATCCAAATCATCACCTCTGGAAGCTATTGCAACTGCTCCAATAATTGTACTACCTTGGTAGTAATACAAATTATTTTTCCTGATGCCCTTCATCATCACAAGTGCGCCATATGTGACTTTTAAAACTCCATCTCTCATAGTGACTGCTGAGCCTTTGGATTCCAAGGCTCCCAACGAGATGAGATTTTTCTTCAAACTGGGCATGTATCGGAAATCTGTCAGAACTATGGTTGATCCATCTTGATTCTTCAATCGAATTGAACCTATCCCAACAGTTTTACAGGCATTGTCATTACCCATATGAACAACTCATGCATTTAGTTCTACTAAATCGGAGAACCACTCTCGATTAGGGGACATATGATAGGTGTAACCCGAATCTAATATCCATTCATCTGAATGGAATGTTGTTGATGAAGCAACCAATGATATGTCAGAGTCATTTGCATCATGCTCTGCAACATATGCATATGGAGCAGCTTTTCCTTTCTTCTTCAGCTTCGGACAATCTTTCTTCCAATGACCTTTCTCATAACAAAAGGCACATTCATCTTTTTCTAGCCAAGACTTCGACATTGATCTCCCTCTCCACTTTGGCTTTTGACTTTTTGAGCGACCTCTTGCCACCATGGCCTCTACTGCTTCGTACTTGCTCTCCTTCTTGGTTTTCTTCTTGAGCTCATAACTATACAAAGCATCAGTTGCATCTTTAAGGGTAACATTATCCTTACCATAAAGTAACGTTTTCTCAATGTGCTCAAATTCATTTGGAAGAGATGACAACAACATCAAAGCCAAATCTTCATCTTTGAAGGTTTCATCCATGCCCAATAAGTCTGCCACTAGCTCATTGAACGTAGTGATATGTTCATTCATACTGGTGCCTGGTTGATAATCAAATATGAACAATCTTCTCTTCATGTGGAGATGATTCTGAGAGCTTTTCTTTAGGAATTTTTCCTCCAATGCTTTCCACATCTTACTTGCAGAAGTCTCGTTCTTGTAGCCATACTTCTGCTCCCTAGAAAGACAAGATCGAATCGTGCTGCACGCCAAACGATTGATTGTTCCCCATTCTTTCTCCTCCATATATTCGGGCTTTTCTTCCTCAATGGCGATGTCTAGACCTTGTTGGAATAAAACGTCTAACACCTCGCCTTGCCACATGCCAAAATGACGGATCTATCGAATAACTCCACCGAGAAATTTGCATTTGACATCATCCTCCTCACCGGTCTGGATGAAGAGCTTGATGTCTCAACTGATCCGTATTTTGGCATTTTAATTCCAACGAACAATATTCAATAGAACGAATTGTATATTTTCAACAACGAAACCACCATGATAACCTCAACCGAAGCTCTGATGCCAATTGTTGGGGAAATCGTGTTATGTCTCACACGAACGTAGTTTCAAAATTGACCTAAAATGTCAAGATTAAAACCACCAAAGGTTGCACAGCGGATAAACCTGTCAAACTATTGAATATTGAAACACAATGGAAAAAACCAAATAAAAACAATAAAGGAGAGAACACACCAAATTTACGAGGTTCGACGAGAATATCGTCTACTCCTCGGGCACCACACCGGATGATAACTTCACTATATCACCAATATTACAACAAATGAAATACTTAGGCCTATTTATAGTTGAGTTTTAATGACTAAACTTATAAATAACCTAATATTTTAGGGATCAAACATGAAAAATAAGTTGACCACCTACCAAAGAATTTTCCAATGTGTACAAGTTAGCCACCAAATATGAAATTCTCATATTCAAAGTTTGGCCACCAACCAAGATGAAATTTTCAATAAGTTGACCACCAACCAAGATGAAATTTTCAACTTACCAACTTAATTTTAAGCCAAATCTAACAAGTTTACCCTAAGAAGCAAAAAGATGAGGGTTCAATTACAAAATGTGCTCTTTGCTTTACACCTGTGTTGAAAATAGAGAATTTTGTCGTTCCTTTACTTTGGTGGGTGGGGGATTGAAGCAACAACGAGAAAAACATGATAGAAAATGAAAGGATGATCTTTGAGGGGTTTATAGATTTTTTGTTTTTATTTTCACCTTTAGTTGGTGATTAATAATAAAGGGACAGCCCAAGCAAATCAATCACATTAAAAACTTCCAAACTTGGGTGTTCTGGGTATTCCATATTCTTCATCACAATCAGATTTTCTTCCTTCCTGGGTTTTGTTGAGGGGGTAAGTTAGGCTAGGTTTGATGATCTCTTTTCCATGTCTAGTTCTTTGAAGCTTGAACCTTTGTTTTTTAAGGACCATATCACAAATAATTTGAATTATTTGATTTCCTATAAAAACTTGTTCTCTTTCTTCCATTTCTTTAAGTTGAAAGTTCTTTGCTTGGCAATTTGGTAAGAGCAGACTTTGTTCTTCACACTTTTATGCAGTCTTGTTTTCATTGAAACAATCAAACTACAGTACCCTTCAGTTTTCTCTTACAGATCCCTATTATTTCTCATTTTTCTTGGCTCCTTCTCCTCTAACATCACTGAAATCAAACAAACAAAGGGTTTATGGGTTTTGCTCAGCTTCGATTTATCTTTACTTAAAGTCTTGCTCGTTTACAGTCTTAATTTGCTTCCTAGGGAACTGTCTGTCATGTTATATTGGTGCTTGGTTTCTGCTTTGTGACATGAAAGCTCCATCTTTTTTTGGCCGAAGGTACGGGGATCATGGTGAGGGGGAAGACTCAAATGAGGCGCATAGAAAACGACACAAGCAGACAAGTCACATTCTCAAAGAGACGAAATGGGTTGCTAAAGAAGGCTTTTGAACTATCAGTTCTTTGTGATGCTGAAGTTGCCCTCATCATCTTCTCTCCCAGGGGCAAGCTCTTTGAATTTGCAAGCTCTAGGTATCTTCTCATATATCATCATATGCCACTTTCAACTAATTACTATCAATTTCATATTCTTTTTGGTTATAGTATTTGCAACCTAGGGTTGTTTGATTCTAGCATAAACCTTCATATATACGCACAGTTAAACACATACTACAATTAGTAAGCTATAAGATCTCAGTCTTGAGATTTTCTTAGTCTAAAGCGGATTTGTTTTTGTCTTGAAATTGTTTAAAGTGTCCTTCAAATGTTTCATACGAATATACAATAGATATAGGTTGTGTCCACATTGTTCTTCATATGGGGTTTCCAAGAACCGAATACTATAAGCTAAAAGTAAATCTTTGGGTATCTCAGTGACCAAAATAATGCAGGCTTAGTATGGCTAAGAAAAAGCAGAAACCTAAGTAGCATGTACCTTGTCCCAAAAGAAAACTTTTATTTCCTTGAAAACTGGTTTGCAAAATAATGGTTATTCAAGGAAATGGTACAATGTCTGATATTATTTTATGAAGGGTATTGTACTATCCCTTTCATCAATGTACTGATATTAGCTTTTGGGAAATCTTAGAGAGATTCTTCATTGTTCATAACACAACTCTTATGTGCCTTATTGAGTATATAAAAACATAAAAACAGCGAAAGATCGAAGAAAAATACTTCCGGCCATTATTTCAACTAAGCATTAAAACTGAGATGTTATAATCCTATTGTTGAATACGTATATACCAGATTCTACTGTTATATACTAAAAGCAAAGGTTAAACATTCAAACATATTAATGGGTGGTAGCGTAGTAGGTGGAAATGGTCCACCATATGAACCACCATCACTTTCACCCAGTACCTTCTTGTTTAAGCTTTTAAAGTTATATATTTATATAACTTTTGGTATTTTAATAATCTATAATGTATATATTTTGATATATATGCTTGTACCATTGTATAATTTTACTCTTGCCACTAGCTTTATTTTTAGTACTAAGAATTTAAAACAGAAAAGTTAATCATCCCAAACTATATATAGTTGAACTTTGTCTCTTACATTTTTCCTGTTTTGATTCGAATTATGGGGTATGATTTATTAAAGAAAAAAGAAGATAAATCTGCCATATGATTTATTAAAGACGGCCAATATAATGTAATGGTAGTGGAGTGGTCAACTTATTCACCTAATAAGATCCACAGATGAATTTATACAGGTATGATTATGAATGAAAATGTTTAGGTTATGCTTTATAAACATAAATCTGTATTGTAAGCTTCCATGCATTGATTGTATTGCTATTGGATATCATTGCTTAGCATGCAGGCGACAGTAGAACGTTACATGCGGCATACAAAGGATTATAATCGAACCAAGCCGACTGAACCAAACCTGCAGGTTAGGATGTCTTTTGTTTATTTGTATGTTTCATGCCTTATAATGGCGATTTTTCCTTAATTATGAACCATGAAAATGGATTCTACTGTGTTTACTACGTTTAATTCCATGCACTATCATGGAAAATGGATTCATTTTAACTTCATTTCTACTGAAATGACATGATCTGATGAATACCGAGTATTTCGTGTTTCGGGTGGTGTTTTACTATGCTGAAATGGCAGCAGATGAAGAGTGAAGCGGCAACCTTACTGAAGAAAAAAGAGGATCTTGAAGTTTCAAGACGGTAGTTTAAGATTTCATTTGGTGATTTCGAATGCATTGAAACAGTGGAGGGCTTTGAAATTTGATTCTGCAATGCCTCAGGAAATTACTTGGAGAGGGTTTGGGTTCATGCACACTTCAAGAACTAAAACGGATAGAGCAGCAGCTAGAAAAGAGCGTGAGCATCATCAGAGCAAAAAAGGTTGATTATCAAAACCTATGTTGCTCACATCTTTTTTTTTCTAAAGTATTCAAATTCGATACTCGTATCTTACATATGGATATAAAGATATAACACTTGAGTCCGAGTCCAAGTAGGGTTGGTGAAGATTATTAATATGTTTTTCAACATTCTATAGAGTGAAATTAAACGAATATTAACCATGACTGTCTACTTTCCAGACACAAGTTTTCAAGCAACAGATTGAACAATTGAAAGAAAAGGTGAGTCTTTGGGTTTGAACAGTATTCTGAGTTCTTTCCTTGAATGATTGAGTTGCTAATAGCTAACAACTGTCTTCAAATAACTCAGGAGAAAGCCCTAACTGCTGAAAATGAAAAGCTTTGTGAAAAGGTCAGCCTCTCCTACATATCCACTAAAATGCATGGCAAGGAATATGGATTAGACTTTACTTTGATTGTGGTTTCGATGTGTGTAGTAAACTTCAGTATGGTAAACGGGGTGAAAGCCATAATTTGTCCCTGATTTGACACTCTCATTGATCCCTTAGACACAAACTTACTTACCCTTCTCTTTTCAATTTTTTTTCATTCAGTGTGGAGCTAAGCCATGGGAAGGTTCAACCGAGCAGGAAGAGAATGTACCATATGATGAAAGCAGTCCCAGCCCGGACGTCGAGACTGAACTGTTCATTGGACTACCCGAAGGGAGAACAACACGCATCCTGCAGCCCAACTAATTGACCACAACAACTTATCCCACGTCTAGCCAGAACTCTACGTATTAAGCATGCATATACTTTGTTGTTTTAGTTTCAAATAAAATTTTATGGTATATTGAGTATAAAACTTGCTTGTCCAGAAAACCTACCATTCAAGATCTGCTACATAAAATACCTTTATTTTGGAGCACGGTATATGTCATTAGTCTCTTAACCCCGCAACTTTTATTTGGATAAATTAGCTGTTTAAATTAAAGTACAACAATTTACAGGATCAACATTATTTTACAAAAAAAAATTGATTATAAAGAAACTAGAAATCTAAAACAAAAGAAGAAGAAGAAGAAGAAGAAGAAAAGTTTCATAAACCTGATAATTCTTTACAGTTATGGGCATGAACAACGCCTAAAGCCCTAAATACATAATATAAACCCAACGCAAAATTGGCTTACTTTAAACACACCAAGGTCTTTTGCTAACCACGAACATAAGGTTCGAAGAGCTTGACACAAGGATTTGGATCATACTGCATGATATCAGCAGCGCGTTCAAACTCTTCTCTCAGAACTCTGATGCTGAACCTGTCCACCACACGGCCAAGGTATGCAGATCAAATGACGATCATTCCCAACTCTTCTTGTCCAATCTTTTTCTTGCTTACTGTACAAAGAAATGTCATAAATGAGATTTTAATCTACCAAAAAGAAAAGCATTATCTTATCCTATTCTTCGCACCTTCATCTATTTATTCCTCAATTAAGGCAAAACAAATGTATTTACTTTAAGTAGTCATTGGTCTTTTACAAATTGCAAGCCATTCTAAGAGTAGAAACATGTTTCTTCCAGCCCAAATATTGTAATACCGTCTCGAATTTCTAGACCTAAGAGAACCGGAACAGAAAGGCATATTGCATAAGGGGACATTCACCACAAGCTGCAAATAATACCCAAAGTGCTTCAAACTAAAACTAGATTCATGCAATTTACTTGCACTTGCATATTCAGCAATCGTCAAGAGAAATTTGTATTTCACCTGATTATGCAGCCCATGCGAACAGATATTACTGAATTTGCATAATCATGACCATATTCCCAATAGTTAAAAAATCCCCACACCAGTTGAGCAACGGTTTCCTTGTTAGGAGAGCCAAAGTTGCTAAGTTGTTCAACTTTATCAAAGTAAGCACACTCAATATTATCCACTGTAACATTGTAGGTTTTCTCCATCCCCTGAGGGAGAATAAGCAAATGCAAAAAAAAAAAAAAAAAGGTTAACCCAACAACATTCAGTCACAATATTTGACAAGTAAAAAAGAAAAAAATGCAAAGCTTCTCATTTAAAAAGAAAAGAAAAATGCAAAGCTTCTCATTAAGTGTTTCACGCAAAGGAATAAAGGTTGTGGATAGATCCAACATGAAACTAACCATATGTTAATTACGAACCATAAGATTTATTGTAAGAAACATAATCAACAATCATAAATGAATCATACAGGTAACATATGACTGCAACACTACCTAAATAATTGGAAAAAAAAACATTATTAAAAGTCCACTCATTCTGACAGAATTTTCCATTGGTTACGTTATCTAACTTGTTGTCTGCCACTCGTTCATTATATCAATAAACTGAAAGTGGTAAAGCAGAAAATAGATATCATGTTACCATTACTATTTAGGAGAATATTCACTAAAAATAAAGTAGCAAGGGTAGAACAAAATTCAAATTATTAAGTTTCATAAGTTTTTGCACCATAGAAATAACATAAAAGAGCCATATGAAATAGCAGATATAGGAAGCAAGAAGGCCTACACACCTGCAAGCATGGAAGGATGGCAGGTCTACGCTGCTGTAAGAAATGAATGCACATCAAAACATACCTGAAAAGAAAATCCTAATTAAAAACAAAACCTGAGAACAAGCAAAAATGTTTCCCTACTCTTTTCTAGATGCACAAATCCTAACCACATTGACCATCATTAGCTTGTATTTTTATCTATGCTTGAACTCCAAAGCAAGCTAAACAGCCTAACCACTAGCACCAATTGGAATATGCTGCACAAGGATTACATTTCTGATTGTTGGAATAGAGTTATAGTAGCAAATTACTTACGCATAGCTGGATAAAGTTCCTTGATAAGTTGCATTCACTCCTCTGGACTTGGCCCAATGTTTCACAACAAATGCCAACTGCCGTAATCTTGCATCTATCTTTGCATAATCACATAGAAGCTTAGTATTTACTACAGCCAAAACATTGTTTATGCATATGTCACAGGAAATTCCAGTTGCCGGATCCATAAGCTTTACTATGGGGACTCTGGCACGAGTCAATGCCTGCACAGGAGGCAAATGGTAAGTTATACTCTATTTGCTGTGTAAGTTTTAGTCTACGCTTCAAGAGCAAAGTTCTGTATACACTTCATGGAAGTAGATTCCCCATGTAGTCTTTGTTGTTGTGAAGATGAAAACAGGGACCATCTCTTCTTTGGATGCAGTTATGCAAAGAAAGTTTGGAAGGAGGTAGATAGGATATGAAGTCTTAACAGAGAGGTAATGGCATGGCAGAGTGAGCATGTGTACACTCAAAGGAAAATCTTCTCACTATTATATTGAAAATTGCTTGGAATGCTCGTACTTATTTGATTTGGAAAGAAATAAATGATAGATGGTTTCAAAAGGTAAAAAGAAGTGAAGATGATATGATAAAGGATATTAGAAATACTACACAAACAAGGTTTTTAGGTAAAAACATTAATATGAGTAGTGACATAAATTCTCAGCTTTGTATACACTGGGGGATAGTTCAATTATTGTATAGATTAAGGTTCATTAGTTTATTTGTATGATTCTTATACTATTGTACTGTAGCAGACATGCTTTCTTTGGATAATGAATATTCAGCATTTATCCATAAAAAAGTGTTGTCACTTCATGGAAGTATAGTAGCAGGAAAGGAAAACAAAAGGAAGTTTAATGAAAATATAATACAAAGATAACATGGAATTCTGAACCTATCTACACAAACTAATATAAATCAGATAATGAATCTTAAGGGTGTAAATTCAATATTTCTTAGGTGCATGTACTGATTCGAATCCGGATCAATATACTCAACTTATATTATCATCCACCTAGAAAAACAAAAAAGTAATGAAATAACCAAGTTTATTTTAAAAGAAAAAGGCCACATGTAGTGGCCATTAATAAAATAAATACGAAAACTAATCAGTTAAAGAAAGCAAAATTGGCAAATTACGATCAATAATAGAACATACCAAAAATCTCAGCAACTATTTTAAAACCAATTTTAAAAGGAAAAACACAAGGTAAGATCACACTTATAGTTGATTGCATTAAATTTTAAAGGAATTGGCAATATAAACCAACCTGCACATTCTGAAGATTATCTGACTGCAAAATAGCTGCCAACTTTAACAAGATTTCAGATTTGTTGTTAATGTTCTCGTTAAATGCAAGGCAAACATCAATATCACTTTTTGAAACCCCAAAAGAGTTGGCACATGATCCATATAGAAATAACTGTGCTTTCGGCCATTCATTGCAAACTAGTTTCTCAAGTAATGCCAATAACTGTTTCTGCTTAGTTCTTTCCTCCTCAGGTGGAATAAGCGACTCATAAATAGCAAGCAAAGGTGCATTTAGCCTGTGAATGTCACCACGACATGCAATCTGCCTTTTCACCATTCTAACTCTCTGGCCAAGTAACCTTTGGCCTCTGTTATCTAATCTTGATTCCTGATATGAAAATCACAAGTCAATACCAAATTTAAACAAGAGTCCATTTGGACACCATTTGAATTTAAAATGCAAAGCATTGGAAACTAACATTACAAACTAAAATAAGTGATCTATTAAGCATATAATACCAAAATTAATTGTGTGCCTGTTGAATCTAAATCTAGAATCCAGACCTACACGACTATGCCTTAATCGTTAAGTCTCTGATCTCTCAATGCTTCACAAACCATTGTGATAACTTCAAGGTAAAAGAAGTAATATTAGGGGGGAGTTTACCTTCTCATGACGATGCTGCTTCTTATCATCAGAGTCTTCCCCAATCAACAAAGACACAACAAGCTTTTCCCCAACCTTGTCCACTTGGCTACCACCTTCACTCTTAAACTTATCACGCTTTGACAACCCATCTCTATAACCAACCCTACACGATTCGAAAAGAGACTCTTCAATATCAGTAGCTGAAACAGACCGTAGATTACTCCCTGCCGGCGGCCCAGGGTGATCAAGCTGCCACGAAGTCCCATCTCATTCTCACTACTCAAATGACTGTATTCAGCTTTTAGTTCATCTACATTGTGCTCAACATGCTTTTTCCTTCTGAAATCCCAGCTCCCTCCTCCTCTAGGCTTCCCTGAAAACCCAGCAGGCGCCCTTATAGTTTCCCTGATGAGGGAGGCCTGTAATTTCCATCATTCTGACGTTGCTTTCCTCTTTCACCAGAATTTTGATGTTGAAAGGCGTATGGAGTCAAATTCGTATTGGTATTACGCTTCGACGCTGGTTGCTGCTCCGATAGTTCCAACTTCAATTTTTCAAGCAAATTACCATTAGGTAAACTCTCAGGCTTCTGCGGCATTTGAATATCACTAGGCAAAGAACCAAAGAGGAGCTTTTGTTCCTGATGCTTTTGCTGCAGGATCAGGTTCTGGATCACGTGACTGTTGTTATTATCCATACCTGGAAAACCTAGCCTTCTCAAGTCATCGTTCAAAGCTCCTTGATTACCGACGAATTGGTTTCCCGATGAAGACCAAGGGTTTTGGGGAAACCCTAGAAAATTAGGCGCGAAAGGCGGATGGTTTGTTTGCGGCCAGGGAGTCTGTAGATCCCGTGCATTAGATGGCCAAGATGGCGGCAAAGGGAGTGCACGCCCAACTGCTGCAACGGCCGGATCTAAGGGCAACGGCTGCTGCTGCTGCTGCCACTGTCGCGGTTGAGGAATAAGCATGGCTGTAACACTGGACATTAATGGAGATTGTTGCTGCTGTTCATTTGATTTGCGCTTTCGGAGTAAAGAAAGAAGGAAT